TGAACTTTGAATGCGTTCCATTTCCTATCTTGAGATGGTTTGCGTAAGCTAAGGCAGATTCAACTCTTAGCATAACAGTCAACTTGTCTTTTAGCCCGGACTAGAGGTCTGATGGACGTGGTTATTGTAATTATGCTAAACAGATTAATTTATAATGCTAATTTTCATTATAGATAAATGCTAAACAGAGAGGGTGTAAGAGCATTTGTGATTAATGGGTAAATAAAGATTAATTTATTTATTTATTCCTTACTACTCTCTGTGATACTTTCTGATATGCGAAATAGTAGTGCCACACATGAACCGATCAACAAAATTCATAGAGAAACAATTTAATGTAATCACGGTATATTATATTAATTTATACCACTTATAATCCACACATTGCAATTACAACGATCAAATTGAATGTTGATTTTCCCCCTATTATCGAAATGAGCAATATATCATGAATCTTTAGGAAGCATCACACTTAATCAGCAACATCATGATGATGATGGTGGTGGTGGACAAAATGGCAGTGATCATCATCAATTTCTTTTCTTTTCTTTTCTTCTGCTAGAAAGATCATATCATCAAATTGAACATTAGAAAATGTCGAGGATTTCAAGAATTGATCGGTTACAAAGGGGACAACTACCTCGATTCAACCAAAGCTCCCTCGAACACACCCTGCAAAACGTGTGCCCACATGGGATAAATGCTGCTCCTTTTTTCCTCCCCATGCACACGCAACACACTGTATCATTCCCCACCCCTCCTTCCGTCGGCCCCGTAATTACCCCTTCTCCTCCTCCGCCACCTTCCGTGCTCTCCTCTAACAGCCTCATCAACGACACCCTTAACGGCGTCCCCGTCAAACCAACAATTGCGGTTCCCACATCAGTGACACTGGTGGGCTCCATGATGTTACTTCCTGTCTCCCTGAATTGTCTTTCTGCGGCCAAAGCAGCAGCTAAGTTCATACCCGAAGAATGCTGTTGGTTCGGACTCGGGTTCGGATCCAAACACCCCGGATCGGAAACTCTCTCCTCCTCCTGGCCCGTGTTTACCACAGCCTCTATCTCTTCCCGTTCTTCATCAATATCGAGATCATCATTGGCGACGATGGTGGTGGGACTGAAACCCCAAGTGGCCCCACAACAACCCAAACCTCTTAGTCCTAGCCGTTCCTTAAGACTCATTCTAGATCTTCTCCTCGAAGAATCTACGCCGTCCATACGGTCACCCAGCAATGCAAGAACTGTTATTGCTTCTCTTTCTGGTTCCTGCAGTAACACACTGAGTTGACTCATTTTTCAACAAGTTAATTAACAAGAACCCAACACAAAAAACGGAAGCAACAGTGCTACTACTATGTGTTATAGATAGATAGATAGATAGAGAGAGAGAGAGAGGAAACAAGCTTGGATAGTGTTTGAATACATACAGGTGAAGAGGGGTTAATTATGATCGTGCATGGGAGTCTCGTGAAGAGTTTATTGTAGAGTGAGGAGAAATTTAATGGACACCGCCTGGTTCTTGTTGTTGAAGATGATGTTGCTGTACGTGTAGGAGTAGTCAGTTGTTGATAATGGAAGTGGAAGTGACAGAAAAGAAAGGTAAATTCCATTGTAGGATTTGGGAGCTGATCATCACCATCATTAGCTTCATGATATTGGAAGATAAAGATGATGGGATTTATGATTTGTGTAGATATTAACTATTGAAGAATAGAGAGAAGGATGAACGGACAAGATAGGAAGAAGACAAGGAGGTGTTGGGAAGAGATAAGATGAGTTCTTTCCACTTCATTACAAAGAGCCTGATCAGTCGCTAGATACTTTGGATTTGCAGAAGTAACGAAAGCAATAATTCGTTGTAATTAAATACCAATCCTGCTCGTTGGTGGAATGCTCTCTTTATTTTTTCTTGTTAATATATACTGATGTTATTGTTATAATAAAAGAGGAATGATTATTAATCATAGCCGTCCCATTAATCTTATTATATATAAAAATTAATTATTATTTTTGTACAGGACATATAAATAAATTCATTTTTTTATGTGCATTCGTCATTTTCTCATAATTAGTGGATTGTCTTGTAGAATCTTCGGCTACGGGGTTGATCAGTCCTGAAAAAATTGGTTCAACTCCTCCGGAGTAATATCATTACAATTAATGGTTTCTATTTTTAAATGAAACTACTTTATTTTATTTATAAAAACTAAAATAATATTGTTTGAATAAAACTTTAAAGGAAACTTAATTGGGTTTTATTTAGATTTTACCAACCCAATCAAATTATAATTATAAATTAATTTGATAAATCATCTTGATTTCATCGGGTCAAAATTAATCTTAATTTAAAAAATTTTAAAAATTAATCTAAAACTTTAGGTTGATAGATAATCTGGTCATCTCATTTGGCCAAATTAGCTTGATTAACTATAGATTTTTCAATTATGTAGATCAATTTTTTTATTAAGATATGATAATTTAATTAATTTAGAAACAATTATAATCAATCATCTATGCTAAAATAGAAGAATATGTGCAAAAGAAGTTGTTTAAAAGTAGTGTTCTTTTTTCCTTGAAGTTAAAAGGCTAACATAATTCTCTATTTATTGATATATTTAAACAACACAAGCTTTATTTATGACCTTTTTTTTTCTGTGAAATTACTTTACGATGGAATTCCATGCAAAATTTCACACAAAAATCTACTATTTCAATAGTTGAAAAGTTATTAAGAATAATGTTAATTTTTTTCTTTTGATGAAACTCAATTCATCACTTTGTGCTTATTTGGGAATCACAACTCTTTCGTATGTTATTTTTAAAAGCCGTGAATCATAGTTTTTTAAAAACCACACCTGTCACTGAAAACCACAACTTTTCCAAATAGTTTTTAGTTGTGGCTGAGATTTTTGGTGTCCTTAATTACACATGTATCATATAAAAAGCATAAAATTTTATATTTTTAATGTGGTATACTGCATAAATAAATACATTCTCATAACTTATTTAATATTATAACAAGAGTTATTTTTCAAAATATTTTTTATTTAAAGATATTTTAAAATATTATTTTTTAATTTTTTAAAATTTATTTTTGATATCAACAAAATTAAAAATGCGTTAATCATTCTTGAAAGTCATATTAAACCAAGGTCATTTTGGTAAATAACATGTATATATGTCTGTGTTTGGTTAGCCGGCCACGATAAAGTCAAAAGCCATAGGGGTTGGCGCAAGAATGGAGGGTCAGGGAAGGTAATTGGCAGTTCTCATTGGGTATTTTATGGGTCGGGATCTATCTTTCGTCCGGAATACCCAACCTCGTCGTCTACATATGTATTATTCATATATCCCGTGCTCCATATATATATATATATATGTATGTATGCATGCTTTCTGCTTAATTGTTTAATTCATCCCCACCATTGATTAATCTTTCGTACACGTCATCACTCCACACACATAAATTAATGGCTTGCTTGCTAGGAATCAAATGTTATCGAACGCAACATTGAGAAAAGTTAAACGAATGCTGCTGTCTTAATTTTTATTTTCAAAGCGAAGTTTCATTAATGTCTCTACCGAACCCGATAATGTAAGACTTACGTGGACTCCACGTGTACAGTACTGGGCATCCCTCTTCAGGCATCTCCCGAGACATTAGGGGCTTTTCACAATGGATGGTGTTTTGGAGAGGCTCCGGTCGTTTGATATCCCATCCATGTCTGCTTCGAAGGCCGGCCGGGCCCAACAAAGCAAGGCCTTGTAGAGATGGACACTGAGTAGATCATTGCCAAACAAGACAGCCTACAAAATGGCTTGTCCCCCTCCCCCCGTCCATAAAAACGAGTAATCGACAAGTTGTTGGTCAAAGTAGATGGTTGCAATTTCATCTTTCAAATAACCATTCGTGGATCAAGATTGCAATTTCATCTTTCAAATAACCATTCGAGGATCCAAGCGTATAAATTATCGGGTGAGGTTTTAATATATTATTCTATAATAACAGTTTTTTTAATTTAAAATATACATACACTTCTATTATAATTTTATATTATTTTATGATACTGTTTAAACAAAAAACCACTTTTGACACGAATAAAAAGAGTCAAGGGGAGGATGAATACTTAAATAGTCTATATTTAAAAATATAACTATAATTGCTTTTAACCGATAAATATATTAAAATAATATATTTTATTATTTTTAAAAATTATTTTTAATATCAATACATCAAAATAGTCTAAAAATATATATATAAAATTTTTTTTCAAGAATATTTTTAAAAACAGCCATTTCATAGAAGAAAAAACAAAGAGATGGAGACGTGAAGTGAAGTGTATGTGTTCTTTGGGGCAAGGCTAAAACCTCATATTCATGACAAACCAGACATGCCAAAAATGTGATCATCCCGATTCCCAATATGCCAACTCCAACACGACTACATTTATTGCCGGAAAATAATATCAATTTTTATTATAAAAAAAAAAAAAAAAACGTTTTAAGATATTTTTGACACCAATAATTGACAAGCAAGAGAGGATTCTAGAGTTTACGTCCGTCAACTCCATAAAACACCAAGGCTTTATCCGCCTCACGGCACCTTGCTTCGCCTCCCTCTCCTTCGTTTCTCCACGTGGCTACAAGATATGCTTTGAACATTGGCCTTGCTATAATCTCAATATTTATACCAACATTGCTTTGAGCATCATGGATTAATTTTTATTTAAAGATTTTAATAAAAATTAACATATATAACTATCTTAAATATTAAGGATTGGATTTCAAATAAAATTTAATCCTTAAAAATAATTCAAAAGCCAACCTCTCTAATATATTACAAATAATAATAATAAAAGAATGCTCTCTTGTAACACTCTTATATCTATCTCCTTTTTTAAGAAACATTTAAAGGGACAGGATGAAGCTAACGGAGATAATATACAAAATAAAATAAACTGGAAATTCCGGAAACGGGTGCAAGCTATTTATGACTGTCCGTATCTTTACAAGTTGAGCGCAACGGGTGGGTGACAACATCATAGTTTAGTTGCCTGTCTTCGATACCCTGTTTCAAGGAAAACGAACCCCCCTCTCTTCCTCTCTGTCTTGGAAACCAAAATTCAAAGAAATGGCAGCCATCTCTCAATTAAATCAATTTCCATGCAAGACTCTCTCTTCAAAAACACCTCTCTTCTCCCACTTTACTTCTTCAAGACCCTCGATTATCCCTCTAAACTCGATCAAGAACAACCCAACAACCAACAATTCGATCTTGAAACCAAGAATTCTGGTAACCAGAGAACAACCCACCAAGAAAAGGAATCTTCTCTTGGTTAAGGCTGTGGATGAGGACGAGGGGAGTCCAGAAGATGAAGGCCCTCCGGTTGCTTTGGCTGAGAAGGGGGAGGAGGAGCTGAAAGAGCTGGCAGAGGTTGATCGCTTGAAGGGACAGCTGGTGGATACTTTTTATGGGACTGATCGTGGACTGAATGCTACCAGTGAGACTAGAGCTGAGGTTGTGGAGCTTATTACTCAGCTTGAAGCCAGAAACCCCAATCCTGCTCCCACTGAGGCATTGACTCTGCTCAATGGCAAATGGATCCTTGCGTAAGCTTTTCTTCTTCTTTATATATATATATATATATATATAACAATAGGATATGTTGTGTGTGTGTTACTGAACATAGCCAATGGCATCTTGCTATGTAGTATTCTGGTTTGGGCGCATCTGCCTACACCAAGATTTAATCATCCAATTATGATATAAAAGCTTAGTGAATCCATACAAGTTTCAACCATAGGTTTAGTTTCGAGGCCCACGATAATGGTTTTTTGTTGATGGTTATTACAGAGTTCGATTCGGCATGAACTGTGACTAGTGCCATCTCGTACCTAAGTCTTCTGGAGCAAAACTAGATCTGAATCACAAAACACCACTAGCTTTAGTCTCTCTTTGGATTTTGATTTGGTGACTGTTCATGTACTTAGAGATCAAATGCTACTGCAGATACACATCTTTTGCGGGCTTGTTCCCATTGCTGTCAAGGGGTACACTGCCATTGGTAAAGGTTGAGGAAATATCTCAGACGATCGACTCAGAGAACTTAACTGTCCAGAATTCTGTTCTATTCTCAGGGCCGCTGGCTACTACATCCATTAGTACCAATGCCAAATTTGAAGTCCGAAGCCCCAAGCGTGTGCAGGTTTGTTTTGTACTACATGTCTAACATCCCCTATCTCCATTTTAACGGTGCAAAAACATTAGAAATACCAGTCAATCAAACATGTAGAATTTCAAAATTGTCTCTCTGTATTTAGGCATTAGACTATACTGGAAGTTAGACTTTAACCGGTGAAAGAATTACCACTTGCCACTTAATTAACACGTGAAACCAATTAATGTTTTTAATTTTCTATTCAAAATATTCAATCAGTTCTCTTTTTTATTGGACAATTAAATAACTTTTGAAAATTGGCCTGACATTCGTTGTCAATTTATTCATCTATTGATTTAGATCAAGTTTGAAGAAGGCATTATTGGGACTCCCAAGCTGACAGACTCAATAGAGTTACCAGAAAATGTGGAATTTCTTGGACAAAAGATCGACCTCACACCCTTCAGAGGCATAATCTCCTCCGTGCAGGATACAGCCTCATCTGTTGCAAAGACCATTTCCAGCCAACCACCATTGAAGTTCTCTATCTCAAACAGGAATGCTGAATCATGGTTGCTAACCACATACCTCGACGATGACCTTCGGATTTCAAGAGGTGATGCTGGCAGTGTATTTGTGCTCATTAAGGAAGGCAGTCCCCTCTTGACACCGTGAACAAACCAAAAAAGGAAGAAATCTCCCTATCATTTTTCTTTCTTTTCTTCCCCATGTTTTTCCACCTTCTCGTACAGTGTTGCTTTGCGAAGGAGATATTAAATTGTGTATGTAATAATATATGTATGAAACTAGAAAACTTGACGAAGATGGTTTTAATGGATATGACAAGACTCCTTTCCCCATTTCAACAGGGTTTATAAATTTTTCATGTACTTTGCCCCAAAGTTTCTGTTCAAGTAAAGCTGCCTCAACGCTTGAAGAACCATGATAGTTGATGGAGCTATATTTACTTCTGTATGGAATTCAACGACTGATCGTTTCCTTCATTTCTATTAATGTGAAAAAACAGAAAGAAGCTGCTTATTTGTGAATGTTAGATAATGGAAAACAATGTACAATAGCATCTCGTTTGGAGATGTTAGGAAGTAACTTTAGATAATGGAAAACAATGTACAATAGCATCTTGTTTGGAGATGTTAGGAAGTGACTCGGAATTTTTATTTATTTAAAATTATTGTTTTATGTTTTTATATTATTATTTTTTAAATATATTTTTAAATAAAAAATATTTTAAAAAATAATTACTCCAGTACAAATTGAGTTCATCATCCTAATAGTTATGTTTGATTAAGTTGTTTATATTTGAGAATATAATTGTAATTACGGTTGATTAAGTTGTTTATATTTGAGAATATAATTGTAATTACGGTTATTTTTCAAGGTATTTTTTATTTGAAAATGTATTAAAATAATTTTTTTTATTTTAAAAAAATTATTTTTGATATCAACGCATCAAAATAATCTAGAAATACTAAAAAAATATTAATTTAAAATAAAAATTTAAATTTAAATTTTTTCAAAAATATTTTTTAAAAAAACAAATAAAGTATAAAAGATCATCATATGAATAGTATCTACATAGTTATTATATATTAATTTGTAATGCCATAGAAGACTATGTTGGGTGTATAAAATCCTGTAATAAAATAAAATAAGAATTATATAAACTAATAATTCATAATACTAATTACAAATTAAAATAGAAAATTAAATAAATTCACATGAAAATCTTTGATTTTATTATATGTGAATCTTTGATTTTTTAATTTATTATATAGAAATAAAGATAGATTTTTTTATCGTAAATAAAGAATATAATTGGTAGTATAAATTCTCCTTTTGTTGTTAACATATTTTTTTAACCAAAAATATATTTTCTTAAACTATGTTGTTTTATTGCAAGCAATTAAATTTAATATCCAAAAAAATCTTAATGATTTGAAATAAGTATAAAAGGGTATATTTTTAATAAAGAAAAATCTCTCTGCGCATTTTTTTACATGACTTTTAATTTATTAGAAGTTTTAATTTTTAAGACAAAAAATTTATCATAATCTTAAAAACCTTAATCTTAAAAACAAAGTTTTAATAACAGTATAAAAAAATAATGAATTAATAATTTTGACATGAATGTATTAAAAAATATAACAATAATAAACTTAAGAAATATTATATAAAAAATTAACAATAAAAATTACAAAAAAATTTCATCTAAATTTAGAAAATGATGCAAATGTTATTTGAAAATATTTAATGTATTAGCGTATATAATTATTCAAAAAAAATACTTGTTAATACTACAATAAAAATACTAATATTATTTGAAAATAATTTCATAATTATATAAATAACATTTAACTGAATTTATTTAACAAGAATCTCATTGTAAAAAGAAAAAAAAGAAAAAAAATCAGATAAAAAACTAAAGGGTTAGGCTTGAATGGGTTAGACATGCATACCTAGACCACATGAAAACTCATCTAACACACCTAATTTTTATTTTTTTTTATTTTTAAAGGGTAAATAAGATTCTTCACCTCAAAATATAAAAAAATAAAATATCTTATGAACCTTTATAACTCTGATTTTAATAACAAAATATATTATAATTGATATAAGAAATCAAAATCAAACTAAATAAAAATATAATTAAGATTAATTTTTTTTTCTAATAACATTGTAATATAGTCAAGTGAGTCAAAACTAAAAGTTCTAAACAGTTAAATAAAAAATATTTTATAATTACATGTAAAGTTATTCTAAACAGATTATATAATCTAATAAATATTTTTATAAATCATTAAAATAAGATTAGGTTTTAAAAAAAAAAAATTGTATCGAACTTAGCTAAAAAGTTATAGCTTTCGATCTAAATATTAGATAAGACTCAAATTTTTGTAAGAGATTTTCAAGACAATGGCCAACTTTGCTTGTCCATTTGCTACACAAATTTCTTGAAATTAGAATTAGATGATCTTGCTTGGGCTAATTTTCCTTGATTTTCCTATGCATCGTGTTTCATGTTCCTTTTTTTTTAAGGATTATAATACTATTAGCTAGTAAATGTCAAATTTTTTATTTTTTTTTATCATATTTAAAAGAACTGTAAATGTCTTTCAAAATGTAGACTTTACTAGACCTTATTTATCGAGAATAATTCTACAAGTTTAGGGTTTATACTTGCAATTCTTTTCACTCATCAGATCCATCTTTTCTATGCTTTGTTACTATTCTTGTGCTTCTCGCTTACATCACATTAATAGTGAAAACCATCTGCATTGAGTTCATCTCTCAAGGAAGAATTCATAGACACCAAAATCAAAATTATTAATAGCCAAAATCTAGACATTTTAAAACCCTCTCTCCTCAAGTGTTTTCGGCAACTTTCTCTCCGCTCTCAACTTCTAGGGACTAAGACGTAAAACAAATAAATACTGAGACTTAAATAAAAAATAAAAGGGACCATGTGTAAACAAAATGCAAATCAAGGGACCAAAGCGTAGATTCACACGCCACCTGAAAAGTAAACATGGAAAACAAAGCTGCAAATTTCGATTCTCTATCTGTTTTTTTTTTAATTTTGTTTTTGACAATTACTAAAACCCGCTCATGTAGAATCAAAATGTCTCACATGGTCATCAAGGTCATCATCAAGGTCATCAAGGACTTATATAATCATTAATTTTAGGATTTATAGATTAATTATGATACACATAAACTGAAAACCCGCTCATGTAGAATCAAAATGTCTTATATAATGGTTATCAAAGGCTTATATAGTCGTTAATTTTATAATTTATAGATTAATCATGATACACACAAACTGATTAAAACACTCACATTAATCTAAAAAAAATATCATTCAATTCAAAACAATCATGGACACCTCACATATATGATAATACGCAATTCCTTGTATTGTTGTCGGTTTTGGTCCCCTTTTGTTTATTCAACTCAAGATCCGCTCAGGTAAAATCGACATGCTATTCATTCTTAAAAACAATCCTCAACATTCGAGGCACGCGATGATACACAATCCGAAGAGAAAGGGAAAACCAAGGACAACTATTGAGAAACAGATTGAAAGAAACTGAAGTTGGATGACTAAATCAAAGAAAAAACATTCGAGGGACTGAGGAAGGGAATCTGCACAGTGAACAACGCCATAAATAGTAATCTGGATGAACATGGATTACACGGTAAAACCCATGTCCTCTTCCACTTTCTTTTTAATGTTAATGTCAATTGATTAATAATAATGTTAATAATTGTTAATGCTAATGCTAATGCTAATAAAGCCAGGGGAAAAGACGGAACATAGCATAAAACATTACCTGTAGGCATGCCAGGATTCTAGGTGATTGCTGCAAGCAAAGTGGATGCTATAAATCCGGAATCAGGATGCACTTTACGTCAACAAAGCAAAGGACAATCATCTTCAGAAGGTTATACATGCTGCTAAACTACTGAAGTCACTCCCTGTGAGTGTGAGTGTGCGTGCGAGGTTGCAATCAAGAAATGGGAAGTGTTGCAAGAATAACGAAGCCCTATCGCGCTGCCATGAAAAAAGATTGGGAAAGCTTGAAAAGGTACTACGAGCAACATCCTGAAGCTGTAGGTTTTCCGTTGACTGTCACCAAGGACACTGTACTTCACATTGCAGTCCACAGTAATGACAAGAAACTGCTCAAACATTTACTGGATATCGCACCACCATTCAGTTACAAGGTATCTGATATCTATGGAAATAATGCTGTTCACGAGGCAGCGGCCACAGGCAATGTGGAAATGGCCAAGATCCTGTTGAATTTTGATAGAGAGCTCCATTGCAGCACAATAAATGATGGACAGAAAAACGAGTATTGTTCTGACGAGCTACTCCAAATCACGAACAATAGAGGAGAAACTGCGCTCTTCAGGGCTGCTGCATTTGGCAGAACCAAAATGGTGAGGTTTTTGTGTTCTAAAATTAAGAACAAGGATGTTCATCGTAGGAGACGCGATTCAACCTCCATTCTTCATATTGCGGTCCTTGGCAGATACTTTGGTATTTCTTTCACTTAACCTCGGAAATTTTGTTTTCATTATTTTGTGATGCTCTTCTCGAATTAACAGCTATATGTTTTTAGGGAAGGCATGTAGCTTTAAATTTCTGTTTTCTCAATTAATGCAGAAACAGCATCGCATCTGGCATTATGGGATGCACACCTTCCGGGGGCGGTGGATGAGAATGGCATGTCATGTCTTCAACTGCTTGCTAGCATGCCATCTGCTTTCAAGAGTGGATATCCCATGGGAATGCTGCGGAAACTTCTTTATTTTTGTATGTTTGCAGCTTTTGTTATGGTTTTCAATGGTGTCTCTAAGCCCTAGGCAATTGTTATAACTTCATGATTCTCAATAGGCCTTCCAGATATTGGCGGTGATGATGATAAGGAGCTGGGTGATAGTGATGATGACAAGGAGCTGGATGATAGTGACGACGTCAAGGAAAGTGGAAAGCTCCATTCGAGTCAGGGACAAGATTTGGAGAGTGGCCATGGCAGGATTCTCTCCCACCAATCCAGCAATTCTGCTTCAGGTTTTTTCTGTCCCTTCAGATTGAAAGAAAATACTGGCATGTGCGATAAATTTACTTAACTTCCTCAAGAATCTGTCTTATTTCCAGTGAATCTCTTACAAAATAGGCATTCTTCAAGTTGTAGTTTGTTTTTTGATTGTTCATTCTTTTCATGCAACCGAAAATAAATCTCCTTCAGGTCCTCTATCTGGTTTCATTCATTGATCATATAAAAAAGGTTCTTGTTCCATATTTAACTTGTCATAGATCTTCTTCGACTAACCATGTAATTTGATGAAAAATTGCAGCAATTTCAAAGATTTACCATGGCGTATTGAGGTGCATGGCTAAGGGTATGCATTTTCTTTTCTACAAATGTTATATTTTCATCAATGATCTACAAGTATAAATAATCTCGAGCGAATTTTGGATGCAACTCAACTTTGTTGCTCTTATATAGCATGGATATTTTGATAGGATTTCCAGGTATTAGAAAATTGTGGGGCATAAAAAAGAAGCAAAAAGGAGTGCTTGAACTTGTCCAAATATTAGCTGAAACAGACTTGACATGGTGGAATGTAGACCATGGGAGGTCTGGCTATAAAATCCTCTCTCATGGCAAGGTAGATGAAGCAGAAACAGAAGAAGAGTATCAGTTCCCTTCGGATCCTCCTGAGCAAATTGAAACCACCTCTCCTAAGGAGACTCCTCTTATTGCAGCAGCAAGACATGGGATCGTGGAGATTATAAAAGCTATTCTTGATGTGTATCCGCAGGCTATAGAGCACATCAATGAGAAGGATGAAAGCATTTTTCATGCTGCAGCCAGATGCCATGGGAAAGAAATTTTGGACCTTCTTCCATCTTCTTATGCTTTAATGCCGAGGCTTGGGAGGAGAATCACTCGTAATGGTGACAGTATTTTGCATCAAGCTGCATACCTAGGTGGGACTCATCATAGAGACAGACCAGGAGACGCCCTACGCATGCAGTCCGATATTCAGTGGTTTAAGGTGCCTTTTTTCCCCTTCGGTGTGGCACGTTCTGCTTTGAAGTAGCTTTTCTTCCCATTTACATTGCCTTCTAGTTACCTAGACTGCAGTTTATATGGCCACATAGGGACGTACAAAGCAAACAAGTAAATGCTGCATTAGAAACGCAATATCAATTAGAAGCAGACATGCTAAACAGTTGCAAACTCTTGCTGTTTGAAGGCAGAATAACAGATATGGCCTCAGATTTTATGACACCAGATTGCATAACAAACTAACTTCTAGTTTTCCTTTGTCCAATTTATTTAGAGGGTGAAGAAAATTGTGCCTGCATATTTCGTCAATCATCGGAACGAGAAAGGACAGACAGCCCAAGAATTGTTCACCACTGAACACAAAAGGTTGGTGAAAGACGGGAGTAAGTGGCTAATGCGAACAACACAGGCTTGTACTCTAGTTGCAGTTCTAATTGCCACAGTTGCTTTCACCTCTGCCTACACAGTTCCAGGAGGTTCCAACTCAAAGACAGGCCATCCTTTGCTTATCGACACGACTCCGTTTCATGTCTTCACAATCTCAGACACAATATCATTGTGCTTTGCCCTCACTTCGGTGGTGGTGTTTCTGTCCATCATGACATCCAACATGAACGAACAAGATTTCAAGACGTCTCTTCCTTTGAAGCTTGTCCTGGGTTTAACTACTTTATTTTTTGCTGTGACGGCAATGATGGTTGCTTTCGCAGCAACTCTTGTGCTTATGATCAGCCAGAGACTTCATTGGGCTGCAATTCCAATTTACACAGTTGCTTGCTGCCCAGTGACAATCTTCCTTGTGCTTCAGTTCCCTCTTTATCTCAATATTGCTTGGTTTACTGTGAGGGGTATGCTATCGAGTTTCATTGACTCTCTAACTTGTTCACAAGTATGAAATATTGTTGCTGATGAGCTTCTGGCTACAAGGTAGCAAGTCTTGTGGAATTTGTTGTTTCTCCATTTGATGAATGTTTTCAGAAATATTGTACGGAAAAATATACCCCTCCCCATAATTCGGTCAAGATTTTACGTTCTCATTTGTGGATGTAGCTAGCCTGCTACTTCCTGAACTTCTATTTGCACAGCACTACAAGTACTCTTCATCGTCAAACTAACAAAAAGATTGATAAAACATATACAATCATGCCACGAATTTGTGAAGATATACAGAATTTTTAGATGATAATTTAAACGAAGTTTAAAAGCTATAGAAGTTTTCTGCTTTTACATGTGAAAAAAAAACGATAACCTGCCATGGGAAAAAAAGTTCCATTACTGGATGTCCATTAAATATTTGATGCAGAGAGAAACAACACAGAAAAGCAGATATTATAAGCAACACAAAATCCTGCTAAATAGAGTTACGATGCAAAAATCTTAATTAAAAATTTTATTTTTAAATATTTTCTGTTCAAGTAGTCTACATATAATTTAAAACTGCTTAAATAAACTTACAAAAGACCTAAATCAACTATGTAACTTGAGAATAATAAAAATCCTAAACTAAACCAAACAGTAACTTCTAGACCTAATTTGGATTTCTTCCAAACCATAAGTTGTTATAGCAAGCTGACTCACCTATAGAAACAGGCCTTGGGAAATTCCTAGCAAGACTTGAACATGGTTCAATAATTGTATCGAAAGTTATGTATCTTTTATAGGATCAATCACTCCATACAACCCCGGTTTTTTAAGCTTAGACTTGTCTCTTTTTTGGGCTTAGACTTGTACCATCAGACTATAAATATTTCTTCAAGGCTTTCCACGTAACCTAGTTGTTCTTCAAGGCTATCCATGTAAACCAGCCGTTCCAGATCCGTAACTAGCGATCGATCATAAACACCTGCACCAATATTCTATCACAATCAAGTCCATAGCAGAAGGAATTAATGTGTCTCGGAAGGAAAAAAAAGAAGCAGCAAGATTCAAAGCTTAAAGCAAAAGGCAGAGCCTTCAAGCTTGAATAACACATCAAGAGCTTTAAGCAGAATAGAATAAACTAATGGGCCATACATGTTATTAAAGTTGCCATTCTAATGATTACTAATCTGAACAAGAAATGAGAATTCTTGGAGAGTTTATATTCTAGTGATTAGTGCTCTGAAAAAGAAATGAATAGTCTTGGTTTGTAGTCTTATCAAGAGTAAATGGACTCCGAAAGGAAAAGTGAAGAAAGTAGATGTGATTCTTTGCTTGATTATTTCAAAAGAAGGAATGTGAAACACGATGAAAACCACTGATCATACTTGGTGTGTAGAATTTATATATTGCTGTATGAGGGAGAATTAATTGAACACATAAACGACTTGCTCACGCATTCAATCACAGACAAAGGCAGAGAGACATGGGTTTCGATGAGTATCGTAAGTTTAAAGGCTTATATGAAAGTATGCGGAAGGGTAAGAAGACAGAAGTGATACATCAATATGCAATGATGTCCGAGGAACCATCAAGCAGCATGACTGTCTGTGAAGATACAGTCCTTCATATGGCGATCAATATGAGGCAGGAAAGCATTGCCAGAGAAATCTTGAAGCATCACATCAAAGATCGTAGAACATTGATTCGGGAGAATGTGTTTGGAGACACCATACTCCACGAAGCTGCTTCCACCAACATGACAACACTAGTAAAGGAATTGCTGGAGAAGGAACCGCTATTACTATCCATGCCTAATAAGTACGATGAAATGCCTTTGTTTAAAGCAGCCCAATTTGGTCACACTGAAATGTTCAAGCTTCTTGCTGGTGAAGTGGGGAATGAAGGTCCAGAGAAAGTTAAACATCATCTGTCTAGGAGCGACAAAACTACCATCCTTCACATGACTATCCTTGCCGAGTTCTTTGGTAGGAACAACTGTAACTCATCCTGCATATGCTCTTATTTTTTAATGATAATAATTTCTACTAGCTATTACATTGTCAAACTGTTTGTTATTGCAGATCTCGCATATGTGATAGCTAAAAAGTACCCGGGATTGGTTGCTGCAGAAGACGGAAAGGGGAAGATAGCGCTTCAGCTGCTCTCAAGTAATCCATCTGCATTCAAGAGTGGGAGCAGCTATGGTTTCCTGAAGAGTTTCATTAATTATTGTAATGCCATCTTTCCTTCTCTTTGAATACATTCTCCAAGCCATGCACATTGTAAATGAAACATGGTCATGTATACCAGGAATCGACACGCACTGTCGCTGATATAAGGTAGATTAAGGAAAAAATAGAAAGTGATATTGGCACAACAAATCAATGAGATGTGCTCTCTGCTCTCCCCATAACATATTTAACCAGATTATTTGTTAACTAGTTTACCGGCGTACGATGGTGATTTCTAGGTGTTCCCGATGATGATGCGGAGAGGAACGACAGCAGTGGCGAAGAAGACAGATACAAAGGTATGTTAGATGTGGACCAAGAAGATGAGGATGGTGATAAATCAAGAGACTCCAAGCTCCCCAAAATGCTTAAAGTTTTAGTCGACATCTTCTTTATGATAATACAAAAAATTTCTTCAGGTATGCTATGTTCTTACAACTCCATAAACATTTGCTGCAAAGTATTTTGCCACATGTTTGTCCTGATGTTTTCCTACAATGTCCTTTGCCAGAGAATTAATTTCATATATCTCTTATTCATTTTGCTTGAAAAATTGTTTGATGTTTTGAAAGGGTTTATATATATATATATATATATATTTGTTTACAGCTCAACATTGTGGTCTTATGTGTGATTATTAAATTTTGATATACAACTCCCATTTGCAGTTCTAAGGAAGATGAATCAATCACTTTGGAGCCTTTTTCGTAAAGGTGATCTCCTCCCTTCTCTCATTTTTCTTTCTTGATCTCTCTCTCATGAATGAAGTTGAACAGGTTGGCCAGTGATGGAAAATATCAGGAAAGAGAAGAGAAAACATGAATCTGCTTTAAGGCTTGCCAAACTATTGATTGCAGACGACACTTCATGGGAACATATCAGCACCGAAGAAGACATAGGAAAGATAAGCGTTGTGAACCCTGCAGCAAAAGAAGAAGGAGGAGGAGGAGGAGAAATTAGAGGAGAGAATAAAAAACAAGGACGCAGAAAAACAGAAGGAAAGCAAGGAAATTTAGGAGCCTGTGTGACTACTGCACAAACACCGGAAACATCAAAAGCAAACAATTTTTTAGATGGTGAAGCTGGCTCGACACCAACCCCAACCTCATTAGCACAAGCCCCAGATATATCAAAAGCAAACAATTTAGACGGTGAAGCTGGCTCGGCACCAACTCCTACATCATTGCCACAAGCCCCGGGTAAATCAAAAGCAAACAATTTAGACGGTGAAGCTGACACCTCATTGCTATTAGCAACTAGCAATGGAATAGTAGAGATTGTTGAAGAGATACTTGATGTATATCCTCAAGCAGTTGAACATGTTAGTCGTAAGGGGCAGAACATAATGCATGTGGCTATTAAGAACCGTCAAAAAGAGATATTTAACATGGTCAAGAAGATGGAAATACCAATGACCAGGTTGGTTCGACGGATCGACGAAAATGGCTACACCTTGTTGCACCATGTTGCTGTCATGCAGTACTACAGTGGAGGAACCATGCCTGGTCCTGCACTCCAGCTACAAGAGGAACTGCATTGGTTTGATGTGAGCCATTTGTCTCTTTACATTCATTTGTCTTGAATATGTTCAATTCCATACTGATTTGATGATATGCAGCGTGTGCAGAAGATAATTCCTCCCCATTATGAAATGCATCGCAGCCGCTACAAGGATGAGACTGCCGAAGAATTCTTCAATAGAACACACACTAAACTCCTCAAGGAAGCTCAGGAGTGGCTAAAGAGGACATCAGAATCATGTTCTACTGTTGCTGTTCTCATTGCCACAGTTGCCTTTGCTGCTGCCTACACTGTACCCGGAGGATCCAATCAAGACACCGGTCTTCCCGTTCTCCTGCATGATCCTATTTTCTTGGTTTTCACTGTCATGGATGTTCTATCTTTGGCAAGCTCCTTGACTTCTGTTGTAATGTTCCTGTCAATCCTCACTTCCCCATTCCAGCTTCAGGATTTCAGCCAGTCTCTCCCTCGAAAACTGACACTCGGTTTCTCTTTCCTCTTCTTCTCGGTCGCAGTGATGATGCTTACATTCACCGCGACCATTTTGCTCATTGTTCATTTGAAGAAACGTTGGACTACGCTTCTCATTTACACCGTTGCATTCCTTCCGGTCAGCATATTTGCTGTCTTGCAGGTCCCTTTGTATTTGACATTTATGAATACATTGAAGACCTCAATCAATCTCATCAGGGTTCCTATTAACTCCGTCCGTAGTTTGGTTAGGGCCACTCTGTCCTCCATTTGCAAGCGGCGTTGAGATGAATTATAAGCAGTCTTCCTACTCTTTTCTATCATTACCGCTCCCCTGTCTCTTAACCTCCATTAAAATAACCTTCCAAGGTGTTTGTTATCTGTTTTGAGCTATCAAGCTTTATTAATAGAGTATCTGCTCTCTCTGACCGCAAGAAAGTATAAATCCTTTCCAATGGCCACTATCTCTCAATTGAATTAATATACATGCAACGATCTCAGAAAAAAACAGCAATTCACCTCTTCAAGACCCTCAATTATGCAGCTAAGAGCTGATACTTAGTTTTCATTTGTTTTTCATATAAGCTGATAGAAACCGGGGGACTCACTACCATTGTGGCCCTTTGATTTTGCTTTCCATCTATTTGATTGCGAAGGAATAATAAGAACTTGGAGAAATTAATTTAATTTTCCAAATTGGGTTATTTTGTTTTATTTTAATTTGAGGATGGTGATGAATTAAGTGAGCTTTTACATAATTAGTTTCGCTGAACTTGGAAATAATTTGCTGACAGGCAAGGAAGGACTTTACAGAATTATTACGCAGAATCAGTTCATGCAGACCAAAATAGTGTGATTAATTGGCATGTAATGCTCCACTGTTTTCTTATAACATAATGGCTTCTGATCATCTAATTTCAATTACCCAAAACTCTAATAGGTTTTGCTCTTTCAAGTTCTGTTTGTTCACTAAGAAAAACTTCGTTGTTAGATTCCTGTATTGCGTCAATAGTTGGGCTGCCTGCTTCTAATGGTCCTCTACCACTGTCTCCATTGCGTAATACTTTGAGCCTTGTTGTCCTCAAAAGACATGTCAGATTACAGAAGTTTCAAAACAATTCTTAAACTCATTAACTGAGAACCCCTTTGGATGCTTATAGAACATGTTCAGTCATTTGCAGTTGATTCGGCGGGAGACGGTGGCTAGTGTCAACCAAAGAAAGCATCAAGCAGCTAGCAGCTTTGAAATCTATGGCAAGATGCAAGCTGTGTTCATTGAAACGGACAGCAGTCCACTTGCAAGGTTTTATCAATACAAACTTAAGCGTCTGTTCTGTTGAAATCAACATTACAAGTTGATGGCGGGCTTCACATCTCTGTTCCTCTCTGTGATTATGATGATAGTAGCATCTGGATCAACAATCATTTTGACGATATACAACAAGGAAAACTGGGCCAAAGCGACTCTACACACGGTCTCTTTTATCCCGGACTGCTACCTTGCACTAACTTATTTTCCTCTCTATCCATCACTATCAAAACTTTCCTCTAAATATACTTGTTGTAGCCATGCCTTGTGTAATGATGTCTAAATTTTTCCTATGTTCGTCAAGTTCAAACCTCAGATTCCTACATCACAGGTTATTGATTTGTTGATAATTGAGAGGATTTCTATCAAATTGAAACCAGTTTCAGATAATCCTTGTTGCCAATACTGATGAATCCTTTGAACAAGCAAACAGATGAAACAGAGAGGGAGAATGAAACATACCAAATAAATTTAATGGAAGATTATGTAAGTAACAAACAACACGAACATCTGGCCTGGCCCTGCAGCTGCTTGTTCTTGCTCCTATTGATGAGAGAAATACTGAGAGAAAGAGAGATGATATGCATTGAAGCTTTTATTTTAATTATTGTAAGCTTTTATTTTTAAAATAAAAAAGTATGTTTTATCTTCTTTGAGTGTTTCAAAACCATCACTAGTGATTTCTCCCACCAACAATTAATATCAAAGCTCTATTCGTCAGAAAACAGAAGTATTTTGAGATATATATTAATTTTTAAAATTTGAGTCTCTATCATTTTTTTCATTTCAAAAAAAAATATTAAGAACCTTATCTTTTTGTTTCATAATAAAAAAGTATGTTTTATCTTCTTTGAGTGTTTCAAAACCATCACTAGTGATTTCTCCCACCAACAATTAATATCAAAGCTCTATTCGTCAGAAAACAGAAGTATTTTGAGATATATATTAATTTTTAAAATTTGAGTCTCTATCATTTTTTTCATTTCAAAAAAAAATATTAAGAACCTTATCTTCTTGTTTCATGATGTACACTCATACTCGTCTTGAAAAATCATCAATAAAAGTAACAAACCAATAATTACCTCCAATAGATTAATCTTTGAAGGTCCCTATATGTCTGTGTAAATATAATTTAGAATCTCATTTGTGTTGTGTACTACAATGCCAAACTTGACCCTTATTTGTTTTCCAAGAACATAATACTCACATAACTCATGCTTCCAATCTTGGCGTCTTTTAATATACTTTACTTGACTAATCCTTGTAAATCCTTTTCACTAGCATACCCCAAGCACATGTGTCGAAGTCTGAAATTATCTATTTTATCATCTTCTATACTTTTGAAGATACTTGTTATAGCAGTAAATAAAAATCAATCCAAGAAATATAAGTTTTCTATCCTCGTGTCTTTTAAGATAAATAATGCACTACAGATTGCTATCAGGACTTCATCATGCATGAAATCTTATAACCACTGGATTCTAGGACTCCAAGTGAGAAGAGATTTTTCTTCAAGTCAAGTACATATTGTACCTTTATTAGTGTCTTGACTACCCCATTATGTATTTTCAGATAGATAATGCTAATTCTTTTGATCTCACAAACATTATCATTACTCATCAACACAACTCCTCCATCAAACTCCTCAAGTCTCGAGAATAAATGCTTATTATGGCACATGTGATAAGAACATGTAAAATCAAGAAAACATTCACTAGAATGGTTTTCTAGTGATGAAAATAGAATATTTTTAACTGGGTTTAGTCAGCTAAAGAATATTTTATCACTGTGAACGAAATGTTCTTATTCTGTCAAAAGAATACTTCGTCACTATGGACCATTTATTGATGACATGGATGATGACTCATCCTTAACTTGTCAAATGACGTGGCAATCTTTTCAGGTTTGAGCTCCAGCACTGTCTGGTTTTTTCAGTAGATTTTAAGCAAAACTTCAACGAGTTCTACATGGCTTGTTTCAACTTCGATTTCAATGATCTTTATATCGTCAGACTCGTATTAACGAGAGGAATCTCCACAAGTGGTAAAGATCAAGATCTAAGAACTTTGAAAATTTTGCAACTTTAAACCAAAAGATGAAAAACATGATTTTTAGTGTTCTAGTTTTCATAATGCTTTGGTATCAATTTATTGTGCATATTGGATCGAAAACAAACACAATAGATAAAAAAATGCAAACAAGCAGATTTACATGGTTTCCCAAAATCAGGTATATCCACAAAGACAACAAATTATATATTATTGGAGGAATGATACAAACACTCAACTCAATTCAGTACAATCCCACAAAACCCAGTGTTTCACTTTTATCTTAGATATTTCTTTTAAATTTGCTTTTTTTCACTCCCATAGTTGCACTTATACTCACTGCATATATTTTTTTTATTGATCTCACTCTCTTGTATTTATCTCTATTTATAGAAAAAATAAGAGTCTTGGCATTAACTAACAAATACCAAACAACCGCTAACTACTACAATAAATATTTTAGCTGATTTTAGTATAATTATCAGAAGTGATGGTTGTAGAAAAATATTGACATATACGACACTATTCATCCATACGGTACTGTTCACATACGTTGCTGTTGGCGTATATAGAAAGTCAGTGCGGTGATTAAATACAGTCTAGGAAGTTCTGTCTAAGGAGATTGGGTTTTAAGCGGGACCGTTTGTGACCCCTCCAATCTTTCCTGGGAACTTACTTAGTGAAGTATTATTCACACGATACTATTTCTATATACGTTACAGATCTGTGAAACGGTGATAGCTGAATAGATCTTGGTGAATACAATGGCAGCAAAGTACAAGATTGAGAGGTTTAATGGGAGCAATTTCTCATTGTGGAAAATGAGAATCACAGGAAGTTCTGTCTAAGGAGATTGGGTTTTAAGCAGGACCGTTTGTGACCCCTCCAATCTTTCCTGGGAACTTACTTAGTGAAGTATTATTCACACGATACTATTTCTATATACGTTACAGATCTGTGAAACGGTGATAGCTGAATAGATCTTGGTGAATACAATGGCAGCAAAGTACGAGATTGAGAGGTTTAATGGGAGCAATTTCTCACTGTGGAAAATGAGAATCAAGGCAATCTTAAGAAAAGACAATTGCTTGGCAGCAATTGGGGATCGGCCCGCGGAGATCACTGATGATGCAAAATGGAATGAGATGGATGGCAATGCTATTGCTAACATACATTTAGCATTAGCCGATGAAGTATTATCAAGTGTGGCGGAAAA